TGTTTCAGCTGGCTCGCCATTGTGATCCCCAAGACAGAAACAAAGAAACCCCAAGAGGTAAGTATGTCAATGGGAAAACCCTAGAAAAGGTCAGCAAACTCATCTGATCATGCCTTGAGCTAATGATATGTATGTGCTTCATCATTGATGAGGTTGCGCTTCTTTCAGCACCTCATTTTGCCTCCCATTTAGGCCAGTGTGTCGAGGGTAGACGGTTGTTGACTTCACCCTTGCAGAATCGATGCAATATGCTTTCCGAAAGGAGAATCTATAAGCTTTCCATGGTATTGCCGTACTTCTGCTTAGGCAAACTTTGCGCAATTTAACGCTTCCACGACTAGGAACCGAAGTCGCAGAAGAGTGATCAACTTCATATCAAATCGCCCGACCTTAAGGCGAGATGGAGGTGAACCCTGACTCTTTTAAGAATCAATTTAATCTTTCAAAGGAAATTAGTGTCTCACGTATACAAAAAAAGCGAACCCCTCAAATCTGTGAATGTCACTGGGCGAATTGAAGCTCGATCTCTGAGAAGCATGCCACCGTGACATATTCACATGATCAAGCCCACCCTTGCCAGCCAGGCCTTTCATCATTCTAAGCTGAAGAACAAGCACTGAGTGAAGTACGATTCAGAATACCGTATGCTCTCATTTCATGAACATTTATTGGGTTGGCGAAGGAGACGAGAAATTCAGCAAAATTTTGTTATTACAAGGCTTTTCCATGCTCGGATGAGTTTATGGCGACGGAAAGGATGTTTAGGCGAGTTTTAAGCCATTTCCCGAATGCGTTGCCCTTTGTAGAAATCATACATTCCAACCAAAAAGTTTACTCCTAGGGCACTCTTTTGCCGAAACCTCTCGACGAATGTCGCCTAGCCAACGGAGGAAGAGGTATTCACATTGACCCTTTGATGCTTTCCGCAAAACGAATTTGGATTTTTGGCAATACTCATTAACTGATCGTAGGTGTAGCTTTTTTGAACCACTGGCTGTGAAGAAAAGATCAGAGCGACTTTTTTTCACAATCGCTAAAACAAATCAAAATTGTAACCTACTTTGATTCGTCAGTGTACCTAGCGATTTTCTCAGAAAGCAAGGTTGTCGAGCACAATATAACCAAATCTTCTTCAAAATTTTCATATTAGTTTAGGACCTAGTTGGATTCGCTTTTTCCCTAGTAATGGCACAGTCACGACGACTCCGTGCATTTGAGAGCGAAGTGTGGAAGGCTTATTTCTCTCTTCGTCGCTCATCCATGAATAACGACCTCGCCTTTCGATACAAGGCTGGTTGATTGTGGTTGTCGGGGAAAAAGGCACAGGAACCATCAAATAAATAACGTTGTGATTTGAGCTCTCCTACTGCTGCGCTCCGTGTAATTCCTTCTCTGGTTACGTACAAGTAAAACGAGCGTTCACAGTGGATTCTACTTATGGGCGAGCTTCTTCTTTTGATCGAATCTAACTCCCGGAGGAAAGGGACTGAGCTGGGCAGCCGCAAATGGTCGCGTCGTAGCTTTACATTTGACAGGTCTGTGGCTGCTGCTGTTTTCGTCAGGCATCACCTAGGGGGAGCCCACACACCCTTCGTATAGCTACCGTTGGGGGATTGGGACATATTAGAAGGGCTAACATGGTTTCTAAAACGTCATAGAGGAAATTTCTTAGTTCATAAGTCTATTACGCTGCATAAGGCACCCGTTGGAAATAGAAAAATCTAGAATCGATACTGATAATTATGCTACTATATGACAAATGTACATATCAAGTGGTGCTATACATACAATTCAAACAAAACAATAACATTAAGTATATGCTCGAATAACATTGTCTAATCAGTGTCATGAACTCGAAGTTTCGTCTTATTTCAGTAACAGTTTGGCAATACAACACCTGGATTGGCTTCGGGGCATAATAGCTGGCGAGTTCATAGCTAGTTTGAAGTAGATGACTAAGTATAGAATCTAATCGCTATTTCTTAAGAATGACAAGGAAATTCGAGAAATAGGGATGAATTGGTTCTCAATATTAGTTCCAGTCTCGTTGCGATACACTATGTATGTTCACCCTTCACCAATATTTTGGAATGAAGCTCCTTTAAGTGGTGCTTTGATAGCGGGTTTGCCCAGGGGTCAGAATGACCTGGACATCTTGTTTAATCATTACGCCAGAATTTTCAGGAAGGAATGTTAGTGTCGTTTTTGCCCCAAATGAGAAGAGAAATAGAGCACAATCTTACCGCAGCGAGCCTTAATGTATGGGTTTTAAAATTTGATTCAAGACTTGGCTACTCGTGCCCATTTTCGCAATCACTGCAAGGAAGATCAGAACTGAGATGGGCGATTATTGTGGGCATGGTTAGAGTGAGAACTTTTAGGAATTCCGTCAAAAAATTATTTTAACTTGATTTATTTGGTCTACACGCCGCGAACACATTTTAAATTTAATGCAACTCTGGCACTCCCTTACTCTTCTGCTGGATGTTTCTTCTGCTTTGATCCGAGCGAAGTCTAACCCAGTCATAGCGGAATTCACCGTAATACACCGAACAACTCCTGAGAGGCTTAGTTCATTAGATTATATATCCACCCCATATTCCCACTTGCACGCCATGCCTGGTTCATCGATTCCCCAAAAAACGTCCCAGGGGATCGTTTCATCGGGACGGCATGTCATCACTATCACATCATCAATGTCCGTATGCCCAATCGAAACCGCTTGAGAGAGCTTCGAGAACAGAAAAATGGGAGGGAGAGGATATGGGCCTCGTTTTTTCAAATGAATATCAGTTCAGGAAGGGCTTAATGAGTGCGTAATCTGACGTTCCTGTTGGCATATCATCATGGGCCCCTTTAAAAGTCGGATCACATCAACTCCAATGCTAAAAAAATCTACACTTCTTCGAACGCTTCGACACATTTCTAGCCAAGTCTTGGAAGACAGTGTTGAGTCATGCCCTCCCAGTCATAGCTGAGGAGACATAGTGAAGGAATTTGAAATTGCCAATCAAAAAATTATTTCTTTTTGATTTATTCGGTCTAGACCGTCACAAACCCATTTCTATTGAATGTTTCTTCTCCTTTGTCTACAACAGAACCTAACCCAATCGTTGCGGGTTTTGAAGTTCGTCGAAAGCATGGTGGACAGAGATGTGAGAGCGGAATTTACTTGATATGTGAAGTTTCGGGGATTGCTTGTTCTTTGTAAATTGTCCTGTAAGCTCATAATTACTTCCTCATGTGCCCCTGTGTGCGCAGCTCTGAACTTGAGCCTCCAGGACGGTTTCTTTCGAGTTAGTTTGCATGAAGTGGCTCTTACATACTACATATATCATTCGCATCTCGCAGGCGGTATCGAACCTCTACGGGCATGCTACGTACCCATACTATGGTCAAACACACGTGTCCATGGTGAACTGAGAGCTAAAAGTGCAGCGTTCGAATTTGGAAAGCGTCACGTACAACAGGATGAATGAAGCGCGTGGAAACGATTTTCCAGTTGTGTCGGCAGATTGCATCATGACCTAACACTACGCTACATAAGCCCCCTCCGACTTTGGCCTTTTCCTTAATTGCTCCCTAAAAAAAGGCCGGCCTGATTGGAACGGAAAGCGCTGCTGAGAACTGACAGGTTGGCCAAAAAGGGAGTGTTTGCGTAGTGGAGAGACTGTTCAGTGATAATGATGCGGTGTGAAAGATTTCAGTGGCAAACTACAGACTGCTTCTCAACAATCGGCGAACCATTACACATTTTTTAACGAAAAAGCTGCATAGCTGAAAAAGCATTCGTGTGCTCATTATGCTCGCGTGTGCTCCTACAGCAGTGTTCTCTGTTGTCTAATGGGAGTCGTGGGGTTTCCGAAGCAGGAACTTTGGCACTATTTACCCTTTACTGCCCCACTCTGTCGAGAAAGGGCTGGATTTCTATCGAATTTTTTCAAAGAAGATGAAACCGGCTAAAAACTTGCCTAGAGGGGTAATTTGACCCGCAGAACACGAATATGGCATTCACTCATCGTGTAAACGCTTGGGACACTAGTTAGGGGCAAGTTTTNTTGGGAATTGAGCAGAGCGTGAGCCGTAACGATGAACGATGAGCCGTGCATATCGATCTATCAGTTCGGGCCTCATCGAGGTNTAGCCGGTTTCATCTTCTTTGAAAAAATTCGGTAGAAATCCAGCCCATTCAAGTTCAAGTTGGGGCAGTAAAGGGTAAATAGTGCCAGAACTTTTGATGGTTCCTTCTACCAGAATGCGCATTGCACTTATTCAGCTATCTTCATCTAAGGGAGTGGCTCAGCGAGGGTGGTCGATCAGATGTCGGTAAATAAGTGGTGCTCAGTTTTATCAGTCATGTGTGGTGGATAAGGAACAGTGTTACTCAGGGACAGTGTGAACAGATAGTTCTACTATGAAAAATCAAATTGGTCATAGGAAATAATTGACATTATTGACTTGATAGTAGATAGTAAGAAGAGTAAGAGGTAACAATTACATAAATTAGAGCACAGAAAGCCTACTGGCTATTGCGGAAATGATTTTGACATCCAACTGCATCGTATTTACGTTAGCGGCAACGTTTTCGGCCACTGCACAAGGATACATTATTGTTAGATAGTGATTCTCAAGTTAACTCTGACTTCGAAAAAAGCATGGGGCTGAGTGAAATGAACCCTTGAGTCGATTCTCGGAGTTTGAAGAATCTAAGTACAACCCCACTAAGTAGTTTCCGAGAAATTGCTGAAGTTACTTGAGAAACCCCAAATACGTTCCACCCGAACAGGCGGCTTTGACCATTGAATTCCAGCGATCTGGCACCACGTAGTTATAGCGTTGAGTTAAGAAGTGTTTCGTTATATCCTGGAACGCGGGGATGCTTGCAGATCCCGAGTATTTTCCTTTTTTTTAATACATCTTGAGACCAGATGAATCACTTTGTCATGGCTTTTTTCAACGATCAAGAGGCCACATGGCTCGCCAACGACTGGTTCTAAGCAATGTTATTTCTTTCAGGTGATGCCCTATTGCTCACCATGGATATCATCATCGCTTCATTCGACTCAATATCGGAAGTTAACATGGTAATCGTCAACCTTTTACAGTCTGTAAATAAGCCTTTCACAAGAGAGTATGAAACTTGAAGGATTATACGATCACCATGTACCTGCATCAGTATTGGACAGATGAACGACTCTCATGGAGTAGTGCGGTGCCGATTGATGAGATGACTTTGAGTGGAGAATTCTCTCAGTACGTTTTGAAGCGTTGCTTTCTCTACTTCAAAAAAGTGAAATATATTAACATTAAGATGGGTATAGGCTCCAACTATTCAAATGACAGCCTGACTTACACGTATGGGCTTCATAGGTCAACAATATCGAGGACCATTTACTCTTCAAAGTCCTTGACGTCGTCATCATAATTGACAAGCTCGTTGAGCTGTCATCCGTGGACGGAGATCTTTTTCAGGCCAAGCTTTCACAAGTAGCTTTCGTCTTTTTGAGATCCAAAGAAGGCGACAACGCCCAGACTTCACTCCATTTGAACTATAGCAGTTAACTCGGCTGTCAACTGAATCCCAGAATTCTTCTAAGAAAATGCCATGTTTTTTGCAGCGTCGAGTTTGGACAACCCAAAGTTAAAAAAATACATACAGAACGCTCAAAAGTATTCGGCCAAATGCTTCTTCAGTCCTTCTTTTCAGTTGCAACTCCTTTCTTACTGGACCTACTCCTGCAAAATTGCAATATGTCTATGGGTGTACTATGAATATTGACCACTATTAACCTGTAATCCGATCATGTTCCAGATATCGCAAAAAGTTCGAACTCAAAATCAATTGGGGATACGTGTAATGGTCTTCTGTGATTTCTTTCCTTTTTGCTATGTCTAAAGTGTACGATCGCTAATCCGAACATGGTGAATGAGAAAAGCGCACATAATTTCGAAGTTTTCTGCCGCAATAAACACCATGCTCCCATTTATGTGGGTATTGCTGTTAGCAGTCAAATAGTGTTTGGATAAGGTGAAATATGCCCCAGTTAAACATCACAATTTCGCGCGATTTGCTCCACTAAGGAAAAAGTTACGAACGAAAAAGCGTAAAAGCGCTCCGCCGAAGACGGCCCAGAATTTATGGGACGAAATTGTAGCAGAATTCGTCATTCACTCTAGTGGCATTCCGTAAGAAATTTTTAAAGCAGCTACATATGTGAAGAATGTAATTCTCATTTGAGTTTTGTTTTCACGTTTACTATAGAAGTGGTTTCTGGGATTTCTTTTCAGAGTGAATCTCTGTCGCTACAAAACGGCCTGGATAGGTAGTATTAAGGGCCCCAAAACCAGACCCAAGTTGACGTACCCGCTCACAAAGACGAATTGACGTGCAAGGTATGCATCGTTTGCACCGGTGCATACCTTGCACGCGGACGGCATATTGTAGACTCGTCGAATTCCGCATGATCAAGATGCACGAGTTTAAGCGGCGTTGTAGAAGCTGCACCACAGACCACCTATGGGGTATTGCAAACACAAAGAACACCTATGTGGAAATAAAAGCAACTATGTAGTTGCTACTGGTGGCGACAGTAGGAGGAAATTTCAAGCAATTTGGACTTCATGTTGTCAGCTCTTTATGCATTTGCAAGAAATTTCGTTAAAGCTCTCGTGTTCTACGGTATTCGTGCTAGTTTCGTCATAGAAATCTCCAGTAACACTCTAATTCCACGTTTAACAGTTTACGATAGTTTTGGAGTATTCAATTCTCGACAAATAATGAAAGCGCCAGTTCGAAATAGTCTCAAAGAAACTGCGAAAATTGGGGTTTTAGAAAAAAATATTTGAGTTCAGAAAAGTAGTCAAACTAGGAGTTGGACGAGAATGTGACGACAAAAGTTGCATGGAAGGAGTATCCGGGTCAGCTGTTCAAATGTGTGCGCCACTGCGCACAGCTATCTACAGTATGCCGTCCGCGTGCAAGGTGTGCACCGGTGCAAACGATGCAGCTTCTTCAGCCTCCGAAAGGCATGACAATTCGCCTTGTGAGTGGGTACGTCAACTTGGGTCTGGTTTTTGGGTCCTTAGTATTCCTTATCCAGGCCGTTTTGTAGCACGACAGAGATTTACTCTAAGAAGAAACTCAGATACCACTTCTATCGTGAACGTTCTTCAAGCCCTTCTTACACCCTGATTGGGCCGTTCTTCAAATCAACACAGCCCCGTATGACATACTTGGAGACTTCAGGTTGTTCAATTAGAGATCTCGCAAACTATTTAGTTTCTCGTGGCCTGTGCCTCCAGGCTCTCTATAGTGCCTCGCATTACACGACTGCCAAAGAGCCTATTCACGAATTGAGTGGCTTTAGTATGTTTTCGGGCGTGAATTTGATCACTATCCCATGCTACTGATAATACCATGTGCTGTTTCCACTTAGTTTTTTTTCCTCAGTTTATTTGGGAATTGAGCAGAGCGTGAGCCGTAACGATGAACGGCGTGCATATCGATCTATCAGTTCGGGCCTCATCGAGGTATTGAAACTCTCTTTTATAACAAGAAAACCCAACTTATAAGCAAACATGCAACCTCAAGAGGAGCTTGAACTGGTGATTGGCTCCGGGTTTTTGAGCTCTTCACTGTACCGCAACTATTCTTTAGTGATTCTAGAGGCTCACACTTGGTGCATCCCATTGAACCTGACCGTTACCATGTTTTACTAACACGATCGAGAAAGAAGTATAACGAACAATGATAAGGACAATCTTCTTCAGCAATATCTGGGTACCGGACACATTCCTAGCAAATGACAAGCAGTCATTCCTTCATGAGGTCACAGAACGCAATAAAATGCTGCGAATCAGTAGCGATGGCAAGATCGCTTACGGCATGAGGTAAGGATTACTTATGTGCCCATTAATCTGAGAGCTTCTTGTTTCCAACGCATTTGCATGGCAAGATGCATTAAAAGCCATCTTTAAAGATCACATTTCAGGCTCACGTCAACGCTTAGTTGCTCTATGAACTTACGTAACTTCCCGTTGGACTCTCAAAACTGTACTGTAGAGATTGAGTCATGTGGGTAACTGCTTCTCCTAATTTATTCTTGGATAATTTCCTTTTGACTAGTCCTCAACCAGTGACTCGTGCGGTAGCGAAGCGACTTCGTTAGCGATGACGCAGCAGCGTGTATTGTTCCATCTTTTGACAAATTTCACAAGATAGCAATGGTTCTCAGAATTTGACGAATAGCTCAGCAATCACACGCGATCAGGAAGTTGTAGAGACCAGAAATTCGGGAGCACATGCCTCTCCAGTCAAACCTTTCTATGCTTAGATGGTTATACCACTTCGGAAGTGCTCATGCTGTGGAACCAGCCGAAAGCTGTTCATGGCGTGGAAGATGCCGATGTGCCCCAGTTCACTATAACCGGCTTTCAAACTGAAGATCGTGTGGTGAGGACGGCTACAGGTAAGTATAGATTCAATATCGGTAATTGGTTCCAAGCTGGATGGAAGCCGAATGCATGGGCGTTTTCAATGGGTAACGGAACGTCTCCCCTATCGCGGCAATCTCCCTTGCGGCATGCGGCAAATGTCACTGCAGTTACCGTACTCACCTCGCCTCCCGCCGATCGATAGGACGCGATATTTTTCCTTGTCTAGCTTGCTTTTTTATTGGATTTTATCGTTTTTTCTTCTGTTTCTTCTTAGTTTTCATGTTTATTAGACTTGATTAATTAAAATGACTCCTCCTAAGTAAGCGGCGATCAAGACTGCATTGAAATTGAAGAAAGCGGTCAGCCAATTCAAATAATTAAAGGACTCCCTACGTCACAAATTGCGCGCTCCAAACTTCCATCGCAATCCTGCGATAGGCGGCGGGTGCGGCGTGTGCGACGCCGTGTTAGGGGAGAAGTTCCCGGACCCGTTTTCAATCAGTCCCTCAGACGGAATTGATTTGTGCCTCACAACGTTACCCTCTTTAATTATCCTTTTACTGCAACAGAAGCGGTGCAGCCGCAGAAGAAGTTGCTTAAAATCTTTTCCGATTTCGTAATAGCTTCAATCAATGTAGTTAGGAATGCATCCAAGTATTTTCTCAATTTTGAATAGAACTCTGATACCTGGCCAGGCTTGAAGAACCCGAATCAGCCTCTTGCTCTCTTATAATGGAGATTAGTATTACCCTGTGGCATCGACTTGAACGGAAGAAAATTCTGTTTTGGGTTTCCACAACCTAGCGATCTGAAGATCCAGTCATTTGGAAAAATCATTGTCTTCACCGTGTAGACTGTAGGGCTTTACATGGTTGACATTCTAGCATCTGTTTGATGAAACTAGTCCTCAGCAATTTTAACCAGCTTTGTGGGTGGTTTCGAGCGTTCCTTCCTACCAAATACACCAATACACCAAATACATGGAAATTGTCCTGAGCTGTGTGATCAAGTGCTCCCCCTCCCAAACACGCAACAAGTTTTTGCATCTGCTAATTTCAATCCGTCTTCACTTCCGAACAGTTTCCCACCCAACGACTGATGCTTTAGCAATCCTACTTACTATAAAGCGCTTCGTCTGTCTGTCTGTCTGTCTGTCGTTCTGTCTGTATGTCTGTCACGAAATTCCCTAGCTCCTTTAGATCTGCCTGGAGAGACCGGGTCAAGTGTGGGATGGGTGGGCCAGGTCTCGAGAAGTATAAAACACACATCACCTTGGCGAAGCCCCGCCCACAGTGGGCGTGGCGTGCATCGAAATGAGCTGGACTGAGGACCATGATTTCAGATTCAGTCACAAGACGGTCTCAAAATTGGGGTTTAAAAGTGGCTAGAGGTGTGCATTGGTAAGTTAGATTCAACTGAGGAGACCCACCCCTGATGGGCGGGGCGTTCTCCAAAAATGCAATGCTTTATGAAAACATTTATAACTCGGTTTGGAGAAAGTCAACAGAGCAGGAAAAAGTTCATGTGGGAGGAGCATTGTCGAAGCTGTCTCCAGCATAATTGACGTCAGCGGAGGCCCGCCCACAATGGGCGGAGCGTGCTTCGAAGCTCACATCCCTTCTTACATTTATATACGAAAATCCATAATTCCGGTTCCTATGGACCTAGAGAGTTCAAATTTGGTAGGAGTACAGACACTGCGATGTGGAAACTTATGGTGGGTGGTAGAACCAGACTCCGCCCACAAGGGGCGGGGTTTGCGCGAAAATTCATAACTCCTGTCCCCATGGACCTAGAAAGTTCAAACTCGGTAGGAGTACAGGCGCCATGATGTGAAAGCTTATGGTGTGTAGTAGAACCAGACCCCGCCCACAAGGGGCGGGGTTTGGGCGATAATTCAAATTTCCTGTCCCCATGAACCTAGAAGGTTCAAACGTAGTAGGAGTACAGGCGCCATGATGGGAAAACTTATGGTGGGTGGTAGAACCAGACTCCGCCTACAAGGGGCGGGGTTTGGGCGAAAATTCATAAGTCCGATAAAGGTCTACAATGAAATCAGCTCATGCGGATCCGTCTCTCACGGCTAGAGCCCCTAGCGCGCGCGAGAGCGTGCGTAGCCGCCTGGTAGGTTAATAATCTGCTATGACTAAGATGGATGTTTGCATTCTTGAATAAGGGTGGTTTTCAAAGATTTCTTTAGGGTCCTATCAACGACTATCGCTAGTATTTCAACTGCAGCGCTCCGTCGGTTACTTCATTTTTCAAACATATCTGCCTTGTGTTCTGATCGTAATGTTGTCATGGGTCTCGTTCTGGATCAATCACGAGGCAACCAGTGCCCGTGTTGCTTTAGGTGAGGTCTGAATGTTTATATGGTCAAGGTTGTTGATCAATATTAAATTCCATTACTAGGCATCACAACTGTGCTCACTATGACCACAATTTCTACCGGTGTTCGCCAGTCTTTGCCTCGAATCAGTTATGTGAAAAGTATCGATGTTTACTTGGTTTGTTTATGCGTCTTATACACACCACTCACTTTGAGCATTACGTGCGGCTGCGTCGGGTCTGAGAAGTCTACTAGTTAGAAAGTATACATCCATAATATGACTCAAACTGACCAGTGGACAATGTAGATGATTCTAGTGGGATCTCGGAAGCGAAAGAACTTCAAAAAGCAGTCGTTAGAGACGGGAGACGGGCAGTAGCACGGCTATCGCGAACCATTCGCTTCGCCGTTATTACAGAGCGTACTTTAAACAGCTCAATAGATATACGATCGTTATTATTTTCGGCATGATTATACAGTTAGTTCTGTTGTTCCTGTATTTCTTACCTGCTAGTGGATTCTGCGCGGACCAGCCCGCGATACTTGACAGACGTCGCAGCTGTCAGTGGGGCATACAATTCGTGCTTGGTCCACGGTAGTCAGCCAAAGAGAAGATTACACGGACAAATCCAAATCGTTCGCTCCACTGACACTTGGTGGTACTGTAACGTCATCTTGAGACCTCAGTGAGGTGCGCCGCGCGCGAAGTGGGCGGGGTGACCTACTTTCGACGGACGCGCGCAACGGACGTTCTCCCACTTACTGTCTGCCAACAGACGCGCTTCAGCAGTATTATCCGTAACCCTTAGGGATAAATCTAAGTATGGTGGTGACAATTACAATAACAGCAACCATAACCTTGAGCGCATTCAAATCAAAATCAAATCGAAGTGAAAACTGGAAAAAGTTAAAGTATACTATTCGGTAGAGAAGGTAAAATAATGACAAACACTGAATACCAGCGGTGTTAAAACATGAAAAAAGAGGCCCTAGCTGAACAGGTGACGGTATAAATGCTCATCCGGTGACCGGCACGTGCCGATGAGGGAAAGGCAGCTTCAGCTCACATGAAAGTAAGCCAAGCCAAGCCTTCAAAAATGACCCATCCCTTACTTTTTCAGAATTAAAAGAGATGGAGTTCCAAATTCTTTCTCGTTTCTCCCGAAAAAAATTATTTAAAAAAACAAAAAACTTTGCCTAAGTTCTAGTGCACATTGCGCACGCAATGACTGGTACTTTTCGAGGATGATAGCACAATTTCTCGAAGGTACCCTGGGTGATGACAGTCGTGACTTCTCATCAAAGAACTGTAGAAGTCTATAGATCTATAGAACGGTACGCAATTCCATCAGTACTCGAAATGATTTGCAAGTCTTGAGGTTGTTTCCATCAATAAGCTACGTTCACATGTCACATGGCCACACATCTTTTTCAGATTCTAAAACGATAGGCTACGTTACGCAGTAGGGGCAACTCGATGGTGCAAGTTGAGATTGTTTGGGGAGGAGAGAGCTACAGCATCACAGAGGAGTGCCTTTCCAAGTTGTTCTATGTATGATGGTACACATTTTGAGTTATAGTATAGAGAATATAGAGCATTAAAAGTTGGACACATTTGCAGTCGCATCAGCTATAGTTATGGTTCATCATGTGATAGGCTACGAAGGCGATCGAAACGCGTGGACCACTTCGGACGAAGATCGAACGCCATTTAGACCAGCCAAATTCGCACATCAATTACTTCAACTTCAGAACTTCAGAGGTCAGACTGCCGGCGGGCCCGATTGCCGATTCGAGATAATCGAAGGCAAATGCACGCGGAAGATCAGTCCTAATCCTGTCGTCAAACCTAGTAGTGCCTTGCTCATTTGACTCATCGGTCATGTTTACGTACTTTTTGACTTCCAGCCGAAGTCCGAACTTTGCCAGAACCCCGAGCCGTCGGATCATGCTTACTAAAGTACCATTGTTTTTTCGCAAACCGGCCCTAACGTCGTTGGCATAAAGAAGCTACCGCGGCGCTGGGTTCTGAAAATCACCTGTGAAGGCATCCATGACGACAACGATTAGTAGTAGTGAAAACGCAGGAGCTTCAGTGTACCCCGACGGAAACTAAGAATGGACTAGAAGTACCTGCTGCTGTTTGAACTTAACACATAGGATCCGAGTACCCAATCAAATAGTTCCTCAGGAAATCGTTTCAGTCGCAGGGCATACCATAGAGCCTCAGCAATCAAGAATTTTTCTGAGTTTCAAGAAGCAAATTGCTCTGCTTTCCGCCTTTAACAGTGCTTTTCCTACGAGATGTATTGCATCGATGGTGCTGCAACCGATTGTGAAACCACCCTGATCGATGGAGAGCTGTACAGTATCCTTCAGTTGAGATGGACCAGAGTTGTGCACTAATCCGTGGCTTCGCCATGAAGTAGTGCAAACCCCTTTACATGACAATGAAGCCCGTTCGNGGGGGGGGGGGGGGGGGGGGGCGCGATTCACGCGTGACCCCACAATAGCTCTTCGCTCACGCAGTACGCGACGCACCCCGCGGCAGGTTACGTAGTGTTTCGATGCGATCGCTACAGTATCCTTAAGTTGAGATGGACCAGAGTTGTGCACTAATCCGTGGCTTCGCCATGAAGTAGTGCAAACCCCTTTACATGGCAATGAAGCCCGTTCGAGGTCAAGGATTTACTTCATAGCTCAAAAATTTGCTTTTCAAACGTTCAAAATAAGAGTAACTCTGAAATTGTCCGGTCCTAATGAACACACTTCTTCTGTAAACGTGCTTAGTTGATCATCTTTTACTTATCTTTTATAAACTCCTATTTATTCCATTATCGTAGTGGGCATGATATTATAGCGCGGCTCGTCCACGAAGGCCCCTCCCTTCACGAGAAGACCTCATTACACTGACGCATGAATCACACCACACCAGCACATCCGTCTCTATCTAGGGCTTCAGTTTGAGACGGATGTTTGAATTCCGTTGCTGACGTATACTCAGTGAAGTGGTGACATAGTTCTTTTCCATCATCAATGCCAAAAAAATTTCTCGATATCTTGGTTCTGGCATGGCGGGCTATAGCAAGACGCGAAGAATTCCAGAGGAGAATACACTGTTTCTTATAATGGTCTATGACGGCCATCATGCATGGTATGAGCAAGTGTAAATATTGAAGAACGCTGCTATCTCAGATGTGACTCTTGCCACTGTGTACTGCAAATGTTTTATTAGCGGCTACGCAGGTCATGAGCAACGGATCAGAAAGATGTCTTCTTTTAGTGACTTTAGCGTTTTACAGTGAACCATTGCTTAACTTCAAACTTTGAAAAAAAATCGTAGCGATACTGTTGGGAATGTTGGCCTCGAATAGCTAAGAGCGTAAAAGAAAACGTCGAAACAAGCTCGGAACGATAGTAGTTCACTATAACTGGGCATTGTTGTTCTAGAGGCACCAACCGCGACGCAGCTCCACGCAGATCTCATTCTTTCATACAGTTCGTTGTTTTGAAGGGTGGTCGAAATGGGTAACTCTTTATTTCTTTCTACTTTATTTAGTCGTCAGCCATTCAGGTAATGTGTTTTGTGTTCGTGTTTGCCGCTCTTCTCGAATATGCAGCTGTGAATTACTCGTACTGGGGAAGAAGATCTCGGGGAGGCGGCGAAGAGGGGTATGACAGCTTTCTAAGAATATATAAAATCGAGAAACAAAACAAAGCAAGGGGAAACAATGTTCAGATGGCCAGTATGTAATTCCAACAAAGACGATCGTGAAAGCGCTGTCAACATCAAGGAATGGGATGTACCGAGCAGTCTAATGAACGTATGTTAATATTCTAGCACCTTTTAGGCCAATAGTTGTGCATTTTCCAGGAACTGAGGCAGCCTACCTCCGATCCACGAACACGTGAATTGAACTCAAGCAGCACAGCGGGTGACCTTTCTGGACCTCTTTCCTCGGCAGCAAAAAGGAAGCGACAATCAAGCCCTATTCCTTCCCTTTGTCCCTCTGGACCAAATGATATTAACGATGACGATTCACCAGAGTACCCCAGATATGCCTCGACCATTCAAGGGATGAAAGCCAGGCCATCTTTGTCGGCAAGGTGAGTTCTTTTCGCAGTAGGGCTTTCTGAGACTCTGCTGTATTTGGAAGCGCGCCTCATCAGAATCAGCTCCGTATTGTATGTAAAACTATTGACCAATCCCTTTGAGACATAAAAACTTCGACGGTCCCGCTTGACATCCCGTTGATCATCAATCCTAAATTCCCTTCGACTTGCCAGTATCGAATATCGGAGAACTCCTAACATTGGCCTTTCCATATCACATTGATTTACGTTGAGTTCATTCTTACCTTACCTGTATTTAGTCCTTGTTCCTGTGGGCAAGTCAACATAGGTAGCATAATCGAAAAGATGGGTGCGAATTCGGATGTTCTTGCATGCTTACATGTTATGCCGATCGCTCAGCTCTGGATTTGGATCGCTCATATTGCTGTATTCCCAAACTGCAAACAACTTTTTCACCATCGCTGTCCGGCTTGACCTCTCCCTGTTCAGACTCGAATTAGACCCGGGTGATGTTTGCAAGCAAATGTGAATGTAAGTCCTTTGACCTTCGGCGGTCTACGACCTTCGTCCCACTTCTTTCCATAAATACAATCTGAGGCAAAACGTCTTCAAGAGCGCCACTAAAGCTCTCGGCAAAATGGTATCGGTTACAGTGTTCACTAGTTCTTCGTGGAACGGTGAAACTCCAGTCGTTAATTTTTAACAAACAACATGAAGCTCTCATACATACTAAGTAGGGACACCTGGTTGCTCAGACCTCGGTTTAACCCCTCTGTCTTGTGACGACCTTTAGCACTCCCGGAACACTTGATTGAGATTGGATCGCAACAGTTTTTTTTTCTTCAAAACCCTGCGTGCTCGTAAGGTCTCGAAGATGAGGGCAACTTGTGCGAAAAGTCTATAGATCATAAACAACGGGCAGGTCAGGTGGATGCCAGGTACCTTGTGTTTTGGGAAGCCTGCAGCGTGGAACCAAACCAAGGTCTTGAGGACAGATATTCTGAATTTCATTTACTTTCTGGGACCGGCCGCCGTCTTATTCTTTGTTGACGTGATGGTATGTATTAATGTTGACTTTGCCATAGAAGAACATCAATCTTTCCTAACATGGTAGCTAGGAAAGTTGAGTCTTGACAGTTGAATATGTTGTAAAAACCGTAAATGACCTTTTTCAATGCTCATCAATGCCATCAGAGCATCAAAGGGAGATTATTTCAATTTTGTAACAGACAAAGCCCACGCTTTCTCAGGCCTTCACTTTCTAGTCTCGGTTCCTTTATTTCTATCCTTCCATTGCTGTTCTTTCTCGCTTCTTTGTATAGATAGCAAGCTCTAAAGTTGGTTGGTAACGAGTGCTTTTCGCGCCTTCAAATTATACCTCACCAACTAGGAATTTCCAACGCGGACGTCTCTTAGTTGCTTGCAGGCCTCTTTTCTTAGCACAAGCACATTGGTGAATCTTGAGTTTCCAACTATTTTCAGGCCCTCTCGTCCCATACATATTTTGAAGAAAAAAAACTGAGTTTAGCGTAGGCTAGACGATGGTCCTTTTTCTCATAAAATTTCTCAACAACATTGATGTGGTGCGTAAACGAAGAGAATTTCTAGGGCTGAGATGAGTCAGAACTACTTAACTGCAGACGTCCGATTCGGATTGTCGAGCTTTCGTGCGAGTTTGTGACCAATTGAATGTCGAGCAAGTAGCATACAGTGGAGACACTCAACACGTAATCCTTACAAAGACGTCGTGTGTACTTCACTCTTCTGGTTTCCATGAGCAGATCTTCATCATAAGATTCTGATACATCTATCCGATACAGAACTTCGATATACGCTTCAGAAACTTCGGCTCTATCATGCACATTGTATCTACTGTGGGTATTAGCCATGAATCTCGTAGAGGAGGGGTTCACTTCTTCTTACCTATCTTTCAAGTAGGAGCTTTTGGTTGAGTTACCATTTAGATGCAATGTACCACACATACATATAAGCACGAATCTATGAATACAACTCAAGACGGCATTAGGTAAGCAGGGAGTTCATTTTTGGACCAAACTGAATCTTGAGTTAAGTACAGGTGGCGGCTATTGGTCCATGATTTAACGCTCTGTATCAAGGCAAATGACGAATGAATCAGCTCAATAAATGCTTACAGTTAATCAAATCCAAGCGATTTTTGAATTTGGACAATTTTACGCTGAGCGATCAATCTTGCATTGCTTAGTACACTTTCAAAACAATTCTCCACAGGAAGTAGGTGGACTGGAGTCAGCAACTATTAAACAATGCGTGATCCAATTAGATGACGAGCTGCTCTAGAAATTCGATCCCATCACTTTTCAGGTTTATGCATAATTACACTGTATTTTGCCTGGAAAATAGAGCAGTAGGCATTGTAGCCGGTGTCATTTAGCAAAGAGACATAAGATGGTATCATCGGGGTGTGTAGACCACTGATACTGAGATCCACACAACAGGGGGAGCTCTTATTTTGGATCATTTCAGAATTTGTTCACGAAATGACTAAGCAGTGCAATGAGCAGGGCCCGGTACAGCGGCCCGGTACATTTCATCAATTTCATTGCTATCCTCTCAGACTAGGGCGAAACGACGCTCGAACATGATAGTACACCTTGAAATCGAGTATTTATCTTTTTATGAAGCTTTCACCTGATATTAAAACCCTTTCTTCAGTGCGTGATGAGTTGAAATCAATGATTTAGTTGAATCAGAAAAACCCTTTTTTGAACCTCTATTGCAGGAGAAATAAGAACACGGATTCCTATTTTCTGCCCGAATTTAATGTCTCACATGGTCACGTCTACTTTTCTATCTAACGGAGCAGCCGTAACAGCCAAATCTGACTTTTATTGAGTCCATCACTTTGCATTTACTTCTCAGAGGAAAAAAGTCTAGATCTTATGAAAATAGCGGTAACACCCGACATGTTTTTTTCGGGCTACAAAAGCTCTACACTCTATACTTTAATGATATCACAAAATATTTGCTGGATCACACACATTATTATTTTCTCGTCTAATAAATAATAAACCCTTGGAGAAGTATCGACTGCAGGAGAAGTCTCCTCAGAACTTTGGAGGCTAGCTATAGTGCAGTGTTTTCATACTGTGATACTGACGCTTTACAGAACGAGGCGACGGCTGCGATCGACAAGATTAAGAGCGCAAAGTGTGACGATGTCGTTGCATCGAATGGGTTTACGAGCTCGAAAAGCGCTACCACGTATTCGAGTGAGGGACGTTAACGTCATCGACAAATATTCTCGTACCGTCTTTCCTGTTTGTTTCGTGATTTTCAAGTGAGTGAAATATACCAGAGTAACAAGGGAACGGTCAAAAATGTTCATGATCATTTTCCATTTCAGTCTTTTCTACTGGGGTTACTACACCATCATTCAGCTATGACTGTGACCGGTATCGCTAGCCGAGGCTGCACCACCTACATGCTCAACAGGAAATGTTAGCGCTCTAAAAAAAGTCAATAAAGATATGAATTTGCAGTCTTTTTTGCTCAACCTTTTTCATTAACACACTCAAACAACACATACACCACATACACACATACACATACTCCACACACATACCTCGCACCACATACACACACAACACACACGACCACACACACCACACACCACGCACACATGCAATGCACATACACGTAGACACACTGCTAGAGTTTCGTTTAAGCAAGCAAAAAAAAAGTTTGGTTTTCCCCAATAGGTACATCTTTTTGGGACAGAGCATAGAAATGAATGAGATGGAAGTCAGCGTAGTCACCATGTAGTTCGGCCTGTCCCATTTCGTTCCTAGCCTCTGAACGTTCACTTCATTCCATGAAACTAAACAACCATTTATGTCTTTCCCCTTTAACCTTCTTTTTAATGAGGCAACTTATCATTATGAGGTTCACACATCTACATTCAAATATTCACGAACCTTTTTGTTTATTTCAAATTCAACTTCCTTCCTGAAGCAACACTTAATGATTGAAGCGAATGGCTGCTTTCGTAGTCCGCCGGCCGGCCGGCGAGCCGGCGCACTTACGTAAAACGAATTAGTTCATATGTAAGAAATGAATCTGTAGCATTTTATTTCACGGTTCTGACCTGTTCTGACCGTGAAATAAAATGCAAGAGACGTAGATTTCTTACATACGATCACGATCTTACTTTCTTATTGGCTACTTTCACAGTCCGCTGGCCGGCGCCAATGAGAAGAAAGATCGTGATTCACTAACGGTGGATGTATGTCGTTTGGCGCAATGGGCAGGGTCGCGCCGCCCATTTGAGGCAGTTCGCGGGGTGAACGACTCATTCACATCGGACAATCCTCTGTCTGTTCTTTTCAGCTGATAGAAGCGCGGTCAATGACGCCGCTACTATTATACGCCGAATTGCGGATCTACTTGTATTCTGCCTACACACATCATCCATTTGGCGTTTTCGGACAGTATCCATGGAGAAAGGGGACAAGAAGCAATAAAAAATCATGCAAAAGCACATGATGTATGTATGCAGAATACAAGCAGATCCGCAATTCGGCGTCTCATAGTAGCGGCGCCATTGGTCGCGCTTCTATCAGTTGGAGAGGACAGACAGAGGGTTGCCCGATGTGAACGAGTTGTTCACCCCGCGAACCGCCTCAAATGGGCGGCGCGACCTTGCCCATGGCGCCAAACGACCGCTTCCCCTAACGGTAGCAATAGTAGTCAATTTCGGTCAACGTGATGTTTCAGCCAACGAGTCAGGCCTTTTAATCAATGATGACTATGAAATTGGAATATGAAATTACCGAATGAAAAATCCTAAAATAACTGCTACAATAAACATGCTATTAACAAAAAGAAACAGAAAGAACTAAGAAACAAACAAGAACAAGATTTATATAGCTTTTCTCAGAAAAAGGGTTGGGTAGTGAGTGCAGAACAAAGGCTTCGCATAAAGATAAACCAAAATAGATCTCTCCGTACGCAAAACAACAAGTAATGCTCTTGGGCGGCCGGTCACGGCCATGCATGGAAATCTGTGCCTGATTTGGGTATAATGTTAGAGTTGGTGCTCAGCAATCTGAACGTTAACAGTAACTTGTTAGCAAACAAAGCCAAGTAAACCTCCCAAGCTACTAGGGTCAGCAGACAGCTTGGTTCGACTTGCAAATTCATGCTGTGTGCTGACCTTGAAGGATTGGAAAGCTTCATCTGCCTAGACAAGTATTCGGTTCCTGCACTAAGCTTACATTACTGCATCACTTAGCACAATACCACCTTTGGTACTATGAACTGTACTGAGCTTGAAAGGTGTGCATGGAACGAGCAGCCAGCATTTTAGCTATTGTTTTATACTCCTGGACACGTCTAATACTAGGTGAGGCAAGCTGTGGTGTCTGAGAGGAATAGCTACATCCGACTTCCAAGAGTCAGAGGACCCGTCTCCAAAACTATTGCTGACAACTGTATGTTCGAGATGAAGCCTACTTTCCGAGGTAAACGTTTGCAAGCATCGATTCTACTTTCAAGAATTTAAGGAGTAATGGTGTGAGTCGTCAACAATCAACCGACACTCCGGAAAAGTCGGAAACAACAACGTGTTTATAAACGAGTAAACACATAACACTGTATATGAAAAAAAGATTGTACACACTAACCATTGGAATTGTTCTGAAAGTTCATTTGCTAATCAAATGGAAACCTCAAACAAATGGTGACAGTGAATTAAAGGTATTTCATGTCCCTCCTGTGCCCTTCGCAAAGTGCAAATACCAGCTACATCCTGTAAAATTCCAGATGCGAAGTTCTCCTGAAGTTATCGTGCATAGTCCTACCCAGCTCATCGTCTAGATAGTGGTCTAGCCACTAGCTGAATTTAGTCATTTTAAATTTAAAGGACCACACACTAAAAGTAGATGTGAAAAACTCCATGCAGTGACCCGGACCACGTGGGTGCCTACCCTGTCAAAGCCCGCAAATTCAAATTATTTATATACTCAGTGTGCCATACTCATAATGTTTGAGTTCATAGTTCAAAACATTACACCTTTTTCACAGGCACACACCTCTACATGGACGCAGAGTAATTCAAATTCGGATACATCAGCTTCTGAGAAATAAATTTCGAAGGTCCTATAGTTGCTCCAACCGAATGGGTGCATACCTTTGCCATCTTTGCAAATACATGTATTTCATCTTTTCGAGATTATTACTGTATGAAAACGGCAGTCAAACAAACGTCGCATGCAGGTGCATGCCAAACAGACGACCTCCACAGTTTTACAACCTCTCCCAGAGTATAGGGTGAGCCTATTTAGTTCCACGTCTAACTACTTCGCACCTTCCTCGCCCATCCACTCACCCGCCTGTGGGGTGGCCTCGCTTAATTGGTTGGCTGCTGACCTCTCTGCCACACAGCCATACTCAGGAGTACCAATATCGATTATATGATTAAGAAACTTCTAAAGCATGAAAAATAAGGCGAAAAAATAAATATGCAACACTTTAATAATGCAACACAGAAAGCTGTGGAGGCTAAAATAATGATTGGAAAAATCATAGGATGGGGAAAAGGATTTATCACATCGTGTAAGCAGTCATTCTCACAAGGCGCCTGCAGGCAAACTAGTTGACAAAGTGACCTTTCAAGCTTTTTTTAACACCCTCTATCACTTTCTCTGGACACCGCCAGTAGGTCACCTGAAGGTATTCAAATATGTGGATGAAAGCATCATAAATCACCTCTGTAGTGAGCACGATGTCTCACTTGTGCTACTTTGAGTTCGACTAAAGTGCTTTCTCGGCTTCAACTCAGGATTAGCTGCTACTGTTGCTCCTTCTTATTCCTACGGATCCCTGCACTTAGCTAGCCTACCACA